AACACCTGTTGTTTTCTGTTTTCTTAGTAGCCATCCTAATGGGTGCAAGGTGGTATCTCATTGTTTTGATTTGCATTTCCCTAATGATTAGCAATGTTGAGCATCTTTTCATGTGCTTCTTGGCCATTTGTATGTCTTCTTTAGGGAAAAGTCTGTTTGGATGTCTTATTGTTATCATCTGAATTTCACTGCTAGTGATTTTGACCATATCCACATAGGTTTCTTAGATTTTGGGGGGGTTTCCTCTTCCAACAAGTGCCTGCTCATATCCTTTGTTCATTTATTTTTCTTGCTGATTTGCAGGAGTTCCTTGTACACTAAGGCTGTACTAATCTTGTAAATTCTAGACTTTGCACATATCTTCTCTCGTTTTGTCATGTGTCACTTGGGACAGATATCTTTCATTATGATATAGTAAAGTACCCCTCTCCTCCCCCCCCCTTTTTTTTTTTTTGCTTTATGGATTGTGCTTTGAAATTTTGTCTATTAAATCCTTTCCTCGCTCTGGGTTTCATAGATATTCCCCTCCATGTGTTTTTTTTTTTTTCCTATCAATTTTATCATTCGGCCATTCACATGGACTCTTTGACCATCTGAGCACTCTCCTTTTAATGGGATAACATCATTTTTCCCTATAAAGCGAGTCAGAATTTTCCCAGTAAGACCAGCAGACTTTGATGCACCTTTTATCGTATATTAAGCTTCCTTAGAACTAGGGATCCATTTCTTTTTTTTTAACGTTTATTTACCTTTGAGACAGAGAGAGAGAGACAGAGCATGAACGGGGGAGGGGCAGAGAGAGAGGGAGACACAGAATCAGAAGCAGACTCCAGGCTCTGAGCTGTCAGCCCAGAGCCCGACGTGGGGCTCGAACTCACGGACTGCGAGATTGTGACCTGAGTTGAAGTCGGACGCTTAACGGACTGAGCCACCCAGGCGCCCCTAGGGATCCATTTCTAAACTCTCCACCATGTCCCCATGGGTTGTCTGTTCTTTCACTAACATCAGACTGTTCTTTTGTTTGTTTTTAAACAACGTCATTGTAGTATGCCTAAATATTTGGGAGAGAGAGATTCCTGTCCATTCCCCTTTTACTTAGGCATCCGTAGAAATTTATTCCTCCTCACACATTTTGGAGTAAGCTTTCATAGCTGGAATTTTTATTGGGATTACAGCGATGTTACAGATTAATTTAGGGAGAGGTAACATCGTCGTATATTAGGCCACCCCTCCCAAGAGCATGAGATGACTCTACTTGGGGAGTGTCTACACCCACACTTTGCTCCCACCTAACAATTAGCAGGCAATGGATGGAGTTTGCTAAATCAATGCTAGGAGTTGATCTCCAAACAGGAAGAAAGAGTGGCTCTAGAATGTTACTCAGCACCACTTCCTCCGATCCCAGGCAAGTTGGGCAATAGGAAGGGAAACATCCTGTTACAGAACCTATGTTTTCTGGGTAGACGAAATCCAAGTATGATGGATAAAAAGCATATAGTGGGAAGTTGAGCTTCCCACCCAGAAGGGTTGGGTTCCCTTGAAGTGAGAGCAAGGGGCAAGGGGATCACAGAACAACAGAACGATTCCTGGCTTTCCCCAGGGTTGTCCAACCCTCCTGGCCAGCATCACATGGTGGCACTGGCTGGTTCACCATCATCAAGGTTGTTTGGAGGATTGATCATGCTTTTCCAAACCCATCCCCTCCACAGTCTTCCTGAGCCACATTCTAACCATGCGAAGTAAGTAGACAGATTATTATCTTTATTCAATAGAAGAAGAGAACTAAGGTCCACAGAGAAGGAAGTTCACTCATCACTCAACAAATATTTATCAAGAGTCCACAGTGCTGGCCCTGGGACGTAGCAGAGACCAAACAAATGGTCCCAGCCTAGCGTTGGTAATAAGTCAGCAGCAGAAACCATGACGGGCATGTTGCTTTTTCAGCCAGCACCGCTTCCGTGAGGGAATCAACCTCTCCACATCCCATTCCTGTTGTGGTGGTCAATCAAGGTGTTCCCCTCTCATTTTGCATAGTTAGGGAGAAAGGGCAGTGGTCTGGGCGGAACCAATATGGCACCATACTCCCTAGACACAGTGATTGGGCAGAGGGTGGGCAGACGATCCTAGCAGGACCAATCAGAGTCTTCCCCGGGGTTTTCATATGGATGTTGGGGGACAGACATTTCTTTCTAAGGTTGCTAAAGCAGATGGGTCTTAGGTTGCTGGCAATCATCTTGGTATAGGAGAGAAGTGTCAAGAAGAATAAAACCAATTAGAGACAAGTAGTGTAGACACACAAGAGAGAATCAGAGACTGACAACATCGTTTGATCCCTGGATCCAGTTATGCCTGAAGTTAGCACACCTACACTTTCTAGTTATGTGAGCCAACCCATTATCTTTTGGCTTGGGTTTATTTGAGTTATGATCGGTGGAGAAGAAAAGAGTGCCCCTGGACAGAGACCACAACAACAAGTCCAGCTTTATGCCCACTCCGCTCGACTGTCATTCCTCAGGATCACCACTTTTAGGTCGAGGCTGGTTTTGGTTCTAATTTCCCATTTCACAGAATCTCTTTGAACCCTAATTCTGCCAGCAAATACCTTTTATTCCTAATGGTTTCATGGCATCTTCTAGAATGCTAAACCCACCTTCTGGGTCAATATTCAAGTTGTGGATAAAGATGTTGGGGTGAAGGACTGAGCCCTGTAACACAAAACACCCTCCTTCCTCAGGCCATCCAGCCTTTAACTTTTCACACTGTTTCTGACATTCCTAGAACCCCGAATTCCAATTATTATACAAGGACTTCATATTCCCACTCCTCATTCCCCATCCCCCACCCCAGCTTCTTGGCTCAAGTGTTCTTCCACAGATCTGCCAACCTCGGCCAGGGAGTGAGATGGTGAGCATCTCTTTGCAGCTTTCCCACTTTCCAGCCTCCAGCACCCGGATGCCACTCCTCCATTCTCAACTGTGCAGTTTACTGCAAAATTTAACAAGACTTTATGGAAGGTTCTGGAACAGTGGAAGGGAAGTGCAACACAGAGCACAACCCAATGGTTACCTCCAAAGGTAACTGGGCTGAGCCCCTAGACCCGGAAAGGGAGGTGGTAATCTGAGAAAGGGACTCTTTCTCTGACACCCCCTGGTGAGTGTCTTTCTCTGTCTGGGGCTCCTGAGTTGCCGTCCAGGTTGGGTGGGTCCAAGCCCAAATGAGCTGCTCTGTTTCTCCCAAGGTCAGGTCAGTCACAGTCATTCTCCGCAGCAGCTGGCCTGCAGGTCTGGCTGCATGGCAGCTCCACATTTTCTGCACCTTCTTGAATCTTCAATTCCCCAACTCAGATCCACGTCTGAGAGGCGAGGTTTCTTTTCAAATGTCCAAATTACAGCAAACAACAAAAACAAAACACATTTTTTTTTTTTTTCCAAAGTAGCAACATGACTGAGAACATAACTCTGCTCACTGACAGGCTTGGTTTCTGCTGTCACAATCCGGGCAACTCTCCAGTCTGAGGCATCTTGGGAATGCTTGGGGCTACGTCTCAACATTGAATCTCCCTCAGGAGGAGAGGTGGGAACCTACCTCAGATAACTGTGAAATTCAACGGCCTATACAGATAGTGTTCCCAGAACAAAGGGGGTGTCAGGTAAACTCAAATCTGTTCTCTTAGGAGTCAACCCACCACTTCTAAATAAAGGTGGTTTTGTTTTTGTTTTGTTTCAGCCTCAGGATCGCAGGATCTAGTTGTGGCCAGTGCACCCAGAAAAGAAAGGTATCATGGAAAACATGGATTTTGCAAGTGCCAAAAGGGCACCGCAAACCCGGGTTAAAGTCAACGGACACAAACATACAGCCTGGGTAGATATTACGCAAAGTGGCACAAAGGAGGCAGAGAGATGGCTACACCCTGGAGGGGTAGGTTGGGGGCAGTCACATCAAGGGCAGTGAGTCGAGGAGGAAGGGATGTGAACCACCTTTTCTCTCTCTCACAGCCAGGCCTCCATGTGGCTTTGCTCATGCTGTGACAACAATATTCTGAAACTGGGTTTCTCTTGTGCATCAAGTGCGTTCATTACAGGGGAGCAGTGGGGGAACACAGCCGTCATTGTTCCTTCCCTCATTTATTCTATATGGTTTGCCTGCTACTTGCGGGTCCCCTGATGTGTGTTGGGAACAGTCAAAAGATGAATGGGTTAATGCAGTCTTCATTCACCTGAAGCTTAGGGCCGAGACATGAGTTGGGTATCAATCCAATAACCACACGAATAAATAAACGGGTCACAGGACCACCTGAAACCCAGGTACCTGGTGACTGCAGCTCGTCCCTGACTATGGTCTAGAGTTCTAACCAAGGAGGGAAATGACACTGGGGAGGACTGACTTGTTTTTCCATGATCCATAACTGGCTTCTGGTGATTCTCTTTTCTAAACGTTCCCAACTTGGAATTTTGCTAGATGCTGAACTCCAGCTTGGGAGGCCATATATACCCCGGGAGAGAAACTCATTTATTAGAAACTGGCTGCCCTGGAGTCCTTGTTCAACCTTCGGGTATCCTCGAGTCTCAAGGACGTCTCCAGGGGTCTCCACGTCCCCACAGGACCTGCCTGGAAGGGCGAACCGGGCGCAGCACAAAAACAGGGATGCCCCCAGGAGCCTGTGCCCTGCACGCGACTTCCATGCCATCAGAATGCAGCCGCCCCGCCTACAGTCAGCTCGGCCCCCGCCCCCAGGAAGGATCACGTGGCCGAGCAGCGCACGCGTGGCGTGGCGTGGCGTGGCGTGGGGCGTGGCGTGGCGTGGCGCGGCGTGACGTAGGCGTGGCGTGGCGGGGCGGGGCGCCGCGGGGGCGGGCCTCCGAGCCTGGTGCGCGTTCCAATTGGTGAACGGGGCTCCCTTTTAGCCGGCTACGCAGAGGCCGCCAGCCCTTGCCTTCCGGCGTCTTCACGGGCTGCTGTTTTGGCGGGAGTTCGCGGCGGGTGTGAGGTGAGAACCGTGGGTTTGCTCCCGCGCTGGGGCAGGTCAGACCAGGTCTAGGATAGTTCCGGGGCCTTCCCATCTTGGGAGCCAGCTCGGCTCGGGCGACTTTTGTGGGGGGTTGGCGAGGGTTGGACGGAGTGCGGACTTTGCAGGGCCTGCCGCCCAGATGAGTCCTACTGTGGCTTCCCGGCAGCCTAGACGCGTCCAGGTCAGACGTTCGACCCCGCCACTGGCGCAGTGGCTTTTTCTTTATCTTGAGACAGCTTGGGGAACGCTTTGCGAGGGGTCTGGTGAGAGGCCCGAGTTCCGAGCCCGCTCCTCCCTCCGTTCCCTGGGCACGCCATGTTCAGGCTGCGGTTCTTTGCGGGGAACAGACATTCCACACAGGAGAGCGGGTTTGGATGTTATCCCCTTGACCAGGGGCTGCAAACACAGCTGTGCACACGGGCTGGGTATCAGGTGTGATTGATGTGGCAAATGGTAAGGCAGTGCTTCCGGGCTTCAGCCAGCCCAGGCCAAGCCAGACACGCCCCCCCTCAGGTTGGGGGGTGTTTTTTTTTTTTTTTTTTTTTTTTTTTTTTTTTTAGTATAACAGCAGTAGTTGGAAACCTGTTTTTTTTTTTTTAATTTTTTTTTTCAACGTTTATTTATTTTTGGGACAGAGAGAGACAGAGCATGAACGGGGGAGGGGCAGAGAGAGAGGGAGACACAGAATCGGAAGCAGGCTCCAGGCTCTGAGCCATCAGCCCAGAGCCTGACACGGGGCTCGAACTCACGGACCACGAGATCGTGACCTGGCTGAAGTCGGACGCTTAACCGACTGCGCCACCCAGGCGCCCCGGAAACCTGTTGTTTTTAATAGAGCAAGCTCACTAGCTTTAAATGTCGAAGTTAATTAATCAAGTTTTAGAACGTTATGTGGCCAAGTAAAATACGTATATGAACTACATTTGGCCCTTGGGATGCCAGTTTGCCACCTCTGCTATAGATGTCCAGGCAGGAGCTACAGAGTGACAGAAGCCCCTATTTTGGGGACTTGAGCACTAGAAAGATCTACCCCAGAACTGACCTCTGGATCTTATGAGCTGAGTAGTTGACTCGGGGTGAATGGGAGTTACCCCTTGCCCGTGTTTTACGCTGCCCCTTTAGGGTTGGCACGGCTCTAATGGGGCTAGATTTTAAGAGTGGGGGTGGTCTGAGGCTGGGGAGAAAACATCCTCCTTGCAGAGTAGGCAGAACTCCTCACATTGCAGCCTTGGCTTGGGAGCTCCCTGTGCCAAGTGTCTGTGAATGGGGCTGTGAGAATGTTTTTCAAAGTAGGAAGTACATTTGGAATGAGTCTACCAGAGCTTGTGCACTGAAGGAATTTCCATCCTCCTGCATCTTGGCTTCATGGTTCTAAACTGTGCTAACTGGGAAGAGGAGAGACCCAGGGGAATTCTGGGAGAGGAAGTTCCAGTCTGCCATCCAGCACTTCCTGGGTCCCTCCTCTGTGCAGCTGTTGCCCCCAGGAGACTTTCAGATGATGTGGGGAAATGAAACCTTGGCCCTGCAGGAGGCTTCTTGCCCAGCAAGCTTGGGCTGGGGGAATCAATGAACAGAGGCAAAAATTAGAGGGTGATCCAGAGGCATCAAGGATGGAGAGCCATGGACAGAATTTGGTGGGATGACGGGGAAGGGAGAAGGCGCTTCCACATGGTTATTTTGTTCATTGTGTGGTGGGGTAACATAAATAATTGGATCAGCCTACCCATCAGCGACATTGTGAGAAATCTGGTCAGAGGGGTTTTTAGCGTCCAGTTTCTAGGCCCGGAGGAGTTCAGAGTCATTTTGGGGAGGAAAGCTGTTTGTTAGTTCAGGGGAGTATTATGGTGGGAAAGAGGGTGCTGAGGAGATACCAGGTGGGAGCGTTTGTGGAGAGTACTATTACGAGGGGATCCACTATGGAAAAGTCTGTCTTGCTCCCAACCAGATGAGCATTCTTTGGGAACAGGTCTGTGTTCTGGCCCCCAACTGTCCCCCACCTAGTACCCATGATTGGATGGATACATTTCTGTCTTCTGGTGCAAAGGGAAGAGCAGCTGAGCAGGACCTGGTAGCCTTGTGATGATGGTCCTGTTCCTCTTTAGCAGTCGGATGCCTCCTTCCTGCCAATCCAGCCTTCTTTCCCTGTGCACAGAAGGGGTCTCAGTTTCCATTGTCACCCCCGTCTGTACTATGAGATGGCAGCGTGCCTGTTGATGGCAAGACAGCTGATCCCTTTCATGTTAGCCTGAGGGAGCCCCTGATCTGGACGTTGTGATATCTTTTGAGGCCAGCTGGCTTCCTTTGTAGGACTTGTCAGGTATAGGGTGGGGCTTTGATCTCAGCCAGTCTCCCTCCATCTTCCATCCTGGCTTCTCACTCCTCCTGGCCCAGGTATTGTCCGTCCGTTCTGGAGGTGGGGGCTGAGGAAGAGTCACTCCAGGAACTTCTGGTTGTGGCCCAAACTACAGTTTCCCCTCCATCCTTCTTCCTCTCCCCAGGTAAGGTTCCTGTGGGGGGCGGGAGAGAGGCGCAGAAGTGGCTAGTTCCCAGATTTTATAGGCCCCCAATGGATACCATGTTGGAAGCCAGACTCCAGACCAAGCAGAGGAACACCCAGAACAGCCGGGAGGTAGTGTGGCCCTTCCCATTCCCCCAGTACCCTCTGTCCTCTCCCCTCCCCTCCCATGTCCCCTCACTTCTGGAACTTCCTTCCCCTTGCTAAGGACTTTGAGACCTCTCATTTCTTCCTGTGGCCCTTTTCCAGACCAGCTTGTGGTCCTCAGGCTTTGGGATGAAACTGGAGGCTGTTACCCCATTCCTGGGGAAATATCGCCCCTTTGTGGGTCGCTGCTGCCAGACCTGCACTCCTAAGAGCTGGGTGAGTGATGTTGGGGCTGGGCCCCATCCAGGAAGCTTGGGGAAACTTGACTATGAGAGCCATGGCTTTGGGAAGCAGCTTCCTTTATGTCTTTCTGAGTTCAGCCCTCTCCTGCCCATGCCTCTGCTCTTCTCTCCAGGGGATGGATGCACCCGTGTTGGTTGTATTGTTAGCCTGGGGCTGGCTTCCAGGCCTGGGAGAGTTGGGTGGAGAAGTGCAGAGAGAGGAGCTAGGGTGTGGCCAGAGGGCTGGGGTCTGGCCATGCCTGCGTGAGTCTTACTGTTCTGTTCTGGGGACACTAAAGTCACATAACATGCAACACATGCTTGAAGACCTTGTGTCCATGCCATGTGCTGGTGCTGATGAGCCCCAGGGTCCTGGCAGAGATCCAGGCTACATGTTCTCTGATGTTGATAAGAGAACTTCTCAGAGACTTTATATGCTACGCTCCAAGAGGCTGATTCTGTAGAGAGTGCAACACTTCTGTTTTGACCATGGAACTCTTCTTCCTGAGGAAGTCTCCAGATGAGAAATGAAATGCTGTGGTGTAATTGTCTCCTGGTATACTCAATAGTTCATCAGGCAGAGACTACAGAAGATAGAGCAGGAGCTTTCCTTTGTTGGTTTGTGAAGGCCCCCCCCCAAGGACATGCTGTCCCTGGCCCCTCTCGTGCAGGAGTCCCTCTTTCACAGAAGCATAATGGATCTAGGCTTCTGCAACGTGATTCTGGTGAAGGAGGAGAACACCAGGTAGTCAGAGCTGGGGGATGGGTGGAGGGTGGTGGGCAGGGCCCTTGGGTGCAGGGCTGCTGGGGCCCTGCTTTGTGGTGTCATTATTTTTCCCTTTGGTGGAAAAAGAAGGGCCCCCGTCCTCTGTTCCATACCCGCAGGTGGGGAGAGGCAGCTTGGAACTCTCCTGCAGATTGTTCTGTGAGCATTTATGGATTGCCCACAGTGTGTCAGGCCCCAAACCCGTACCCCACTCAGCAGGGAGAGGGGAGGGATGGGGGCACAGAGGGGCAGGTGCTGCTTCTTTCTGCTCCATGATAAGCCAAGCTCAGGTGTTCTCAGGCCGTGGGACTCGGGTGTGATCCCTTTCTGATGGAGCATGCTCTGTAGACCCTAGTGAAGCGTGGGCCCTCTGAAACATCTTCCCCCTGCTCTGGGGGCTGTGCTCAGGTTTCGGGGCTGGCTGGTTCGGAGGCTCTGCTGTTTTCTGTGGTCACTGGAGCAGCACATACCACCTTGTCGGGACGCCCCAGAGAAGATCATGGAAAGAACTGGGTGAGGAGGCATGGACTGGGGTCTGGATGGCACTTCTCAGACCCTTGAAGGGATGACAAATGCTCTAGGTAGGGGTGGTTGAGAGGGCTGGCTTCTAGAGCATTAGCTTTGCCTGGTGCCCTTCCTTAAAGATGTAGGATAAATACTGGAATCTGTGCTCGTCGGGATGCTGTGGTGCTGAGGGAAGTTACCTGAGAGATCTTAGTCCTGCCCCAGCCTAACACCACTCCTCCTCACACCACAGGGTGCAGAATGTCATCTCAGGGAGGGACCCAGGAGGGGCTGGAGAAGGCCAGGTGTCAGGCCTTGTGAAGAAAGACGTACAGCGCATCCTGGGCCATATCCAGGCTCCACCCTGCCCCTTCCTACTCAGGTAACTCTGTGCTGAGGGGCATTCTTTTCTGGGCTGGGGCCTCTGCCCTTCTGGAAAGTGAGTGTTGGTGAAAGACTAGACTCCCCTCCCGGGAAGTTGGATGGTGTGTTTACCAGAGAGCCCGAGGGAATGCCTGAAGATGCTGTGAGACCTTTTGAGGACAGCTGGCTCCTTGGTGGGGCCAGTCAGGTATGGGATGAGGCTTTGACCTGAGTCAGCTTCCAGCCCAGGTTCTTACCATTGCTGGCCTGGCGTTGTCTCTCTGTCCTGAGGATAGGGGGTTGGGGGTCACCCCAGGAAGCCTTGGTTGTGGTCCAGACTTCAGCTCCTTTTCTGTTCTTCTTTCTCTCCCCAGATCAGGTTCCTGTGGAGGAGGTGAGGTGGCTGGTTTCCTCCATCTTACAGGCTCCCATGCTCTCTCCCACACTCCTGTAACACAGGTCTGAGCTCTTCTGAGATGCAGGGCACTGTTCCTGGAGAGTGGAGGGACGCTTGGGACAGAGTAACACATGGCTGCAAGGACAGAACAAGGGCTAGGATTGAGAATACCTGCAGGGGAGAAAGAGACTTGTAAGCCAGGGACACAAAGGGGAAAAGAGTCAACGTCGAGGGGGCAAGGATGGAGGGAACAGTCCTGGAGGGAATAGCATGAGCTGTGGCCATAGGAAAGGGCCAGGTTTGCTCAAGAAGCTGATGGGGTTGGAAGCTGGTGAGTGAGGGAGAGAGAGAGCTGTTGGAGACGAAATTGAGAGAAGGGACAAGATATGCAGGGCCATTCAAGTTGTTTGAATTTGATTTTTAAGTGCAGTGAAAACCAATGGAAAGGTTTTAGGCAGGAACTGACAAGACTAATTGGAATCAAGAGTAGAGAACAGAAGACTATTTGGTAAGCTTTGTTAGTCCAGGTGAGGTGCCATCCATGGGGCATGGGGTGGTGACAATAGGGGTTGGAAAAATGGATTGAGAGACCAGTGTGAAATTAACAGGTCTCCCTGATGGATTGAGGGTGGGGGCAATGAGGGGAAGAGATCTCAATCACGGGAGAGCCAGGTTTTTGGCAGAGCACCTGGTGTTGTGGATGGAGGAGGCAGGCTTGGGGAGGAGTGAGTTTGGCCCACAAAGGATGTTTTGGACATAAAGAGTTTCAGATACCTGACTTGTTGGAGACACTGAAGAGGTAGTTGCTTAGTCTGGAGCTCAGAAGAGATTGGGGCCAGGAGCATAGCTTTGCAAAGCTTTAGCATACGGATGATGTTTAAAGCTGAGAGATGAATGAGTCACTGAGGGAAAGAAGGCACAGGGCTGTGCGTGGTGCTTAGCTGTCTTGAAAGTGCTCAGTGGTCAACTGCTTGGTTAGGACAGGAAGTAGAGGTTGTCAGTAACTTTGACCAGCCTTCCATGTGACAGTTGTTTGACTTTGCTGAGACTTCTAGTCCCTTGACCTGACCATCTTTATACCGGTCATCAGCCCGTCTCTTGTCTTTTCTTCCCTCCTAGACTTGCTTCAGTTCCAGAGCATTGGAATTCATGATGATAATGTCCTGGTGAAGGAGTCACTTGGTTCTGTTTGGACTCAGCTACCTGCCTTTTCTGTACCTGCCTTTTCTGTTTCCTTTATGAGATTCTCAAAGAGGCACATAGCATTCGCCCAGACTGATCCAGACTGCTCCTCAGGTTTACCCACTGTCAGCTGATGCCCCCATCTTCTGCTTCATAGAGAAATAGAAGCCACTGGACGAGGGCATGCTGCCTGTCCACCACGTCTCTGTGGTGCTTGCGTCTACGCTTCTGTCCTCGTTCCCCACCAGTCCCCCCACTGGGCCTCTGGGGGATGCTGCCTCAGGGACTTGGCCCTTTCAGTTCTCCCCTTTTTGTATCACTAACTCCTTCCTTTATATTTCACTTTTCCCAGCAGTTTTCAAAGACCAGGCTAGGTTATGCCTAGAGAGGGTCTTGGTACTCTAATTTCCTTTGGGGTAAATGGAGGCAGGAGATGCCCTGAAGCTGATTTGAGGCAGTTGCACCATGAAGTCTTGGGAAAGTAACAGCACCTCACAGGCGTGGAGTTTGGTGTCAGGCCTGCCTTCCAGCCTCTGCACCACCACTTAGCTTTCTCTACTGTTCAGCTTCTGTAACCTCCTCAAGGCTCACTTCCTTCTTCCATAAAGTAGGGACAGTAATAGTACTTGCCTTAGAGGAGTGCTGGGCAGCGTTCTGAGGGCCTGTGGGGCCCAGACACAACCTCAGACTGGCTGTCCCTCTCCAGGCTATTCAGCTGGGCGCTGCTGCGGTTCCTGAAATGTGTCTTCCTGAACGTGCAGCTCCACAAGGGCCAGATGAAGATGGTCCACCAGGCCGCCCAGGCGGTAAGGCCCGCCCTCCATTGGGATGGGGATGGCGGGAACAGAGGAGCAGAGGCTAGCCAAGCCCCAAGTTGGGACCAGCCCCATCAGCTGGTGGGAAAAATCCACTGCTCTTTGATGACCTTCTCTTCGTGTCTCACGGTCTTGCTCCCATGGGGCTTCCTCTAACGTCTTTTCATCATGGTCTTAACCATTATGTCAGTGCATTACCTTAAAAGTTGTTGACAGAGCTCCTCTACTTTTGGGAAATGTGCTCAGAGGAAGAACTGCTCAGCTGAACCCTCCCTCCCTCTGGGGCTGCCCTGGGTCCGGAGGTGCTGGGTTTCAGCTTCCTGCATCTTCAGGGTGGGGGCGGATTGGCACTTCCCTCTGGCTGTCCCCAAGCAGGGCTTGCCGCTTGTCCTCCTCTCTACCCACAAGTCCCTCCTGGATGGGATCCTGCTGCCCTTTGTGCTGCTCTCCCAAGGCCTGGGTGTGCTCCGTGTGGCTTGGGACCCCCGCACCTGCTCTCCCACCCTCAGGTAAAAGCTTTGCGCCCCTAGACATACAAGGCAGAAGTCCCCAGCCCAGGGCAGGTGTGTGTGGGGATGTGTATGGGGATGTTGCAGCTGCCCAGAAGCCTTCTTCATTGTCTCTCTGTTCCCAAGTCTGCCATCTCCGCCAGTGGGGCTCAGATGGAGGGTTTAGCCCTAAGGCCATGCCTGGATTCAGGATATTCAGGCAGGATCCAGGCTGGCCGTGGTGGGCCAAAGCTCTCACTAGCTTATCCTGCCTTGGTCCCATCTCCGGAGCCCCTTCTCTCATCAAGTTTTGCCTTGTGCCCCACAGAGCTCTGCTAAAGAAGCTTGGGGGGCTTTTCCTGCCCCCAGAGGCCAACCTCACCTTGGACAGCTCTGAGGGAGTCCTTACAAAGGCTGTGGTCCATGCCGTAAGTGCCCCCAGTGGTTCCAGTGGGGCCAGCCCAGAGTACAGGGACTTGTTGCTGCTCTGGCCTTGATATCTGCCTCCCCTAATTCTCTTCCAGGCTATAGAGCAGCTGTTGGTCAGCAAGCAGCCCTTGCTTATATTCCTGGAAGAGCCTCCTGGGGTCCTGGGGCCTCGGCTGTCAGCCCTGGGCCAAACCTGGCTGGGACTGGTGGTGGAGGCTGTCCAGGTGGGGGTTGTCCCAGATGCTATGCTGGTGCCAGTGGCCATCACCTATGATCTGGTTCCAGATGCACCCTGTGATGCATACCACGTGAGACCCTCCTGCCCTGGGGACCCCAGATGGGTACCATCTCTAGAGAAGATACACATTGTTTTGGTTTTTTAAAATTTTTAAAATTTATTTTCGAGAGACAGATAGTGCAAGCAGCAGGGGAGGGTCAGAGAGAGAGGGACACAATGGAATTGAAAGCAGGCTCCAGACTCTGAGCGGTCAGCACAGAGCCTGATGCAGGGCTCGAGCCCATGAGCTATGGGATCATGACCTGAACCGAAGTCGAATACTTAACCGACCAAGCCACCCAGGTACCCCATGAGAAGATACACATTATTGTGTCCTGTGGCCAGTTCCCTTTAGGGCTAGGGTTAAGGGGAGAATTCAAAGGACTTCTTCAATCATCATCCTGTGGCACTTGCCAAGGCCCTTATAGTTACTGAGTCATTGCATCCTCACAAGACCCAGTTAGAGGGATTTCTCCTGTTTCATGGTTGAGAAAATAAGCTTGAAGAGGTCATGGTCATGTACCAGTTTGGGCCCAAGATAAAGCAGAGCAGAAAACAGTGACCCCAGGAAATTTGTTCACTCAACCCCTCCCTCCCTGCAGGCCTCGGCCCCACTGGGGTTGTGGACAGGAGCTCTGGCTGTCCTGCGGATCCTGCGAGGCTGGGGCCGCAGCCGCCCAGTCTGTGTCCGTGTTCACCTGGCCCAGCCCTTCTCCCTACAGGTATGCAGCCTGTTGGGTAAGGCTGGGAGTACCTGGGGTCTGTCCCGTGGCTTCTGGCAGCCTGGCCCTCAAAGCCCTCTGCAGGGATAGCCTTGCCTGCCTCAGGTGGGCTATGTGCAGGTTTCCTGGTGGGCCAGGGTAGGCCACCTAAGAGCCTTGTCCTGGGCAGGAATACACCATCAACGCTAGAAGCTGCTGGGGCAGCAGGCAGACCCTGGAGCAGCTGCTGCAGCCCATCGTGCTGGGCCAATGGTAGGGGCATGGGCATGTGTGGGTCTCGGGTAAGGCTGGTAGCCCTGTCAGTCCAGCTTGTAAGCTGGCACCCCTTTCCCCCATACCCACAAACACATCACCGTTTCCTCCAGCCTTCCCTCGCCATTTATCCATGGGTCATCTAGAACAGTCCCAGGCCTCCCTCCTTGCCTATAACCTGACTGCGGGACATGGCAGATAGGCCTGGAAGGGGCTAGAGTTACATGGGCCACCTCTTGCCTTGGGAGTGGGGATGGGGAAATATCCTTACCTTTGAGGAAGGTTGGTCCCTTTATCCTGTGATCTGTGTCTCTATCCCAGCACTACTGTCCCAGACACGGAGAAGGAGCAGGAGTGGACTCCAGCAACTGGGCCCCTTCTGGCGCTCAAGGAAGAGGACCAGCTCCTGGTCAGGAGGCTGAGCTGTCATGTCCTGAATGGTGAGGGGATCCGGGCCTTTCAGGGGAGGCTCCTGAGTAGTGTGTCTACTGGTTCAGCCAGTCATTGGGACCCTCCATTCCAAACGGGTTTCTGCACCTGATGCCCACTCCTGTGTGGCCCACTTGGGACGTGTGAAGAGGAGTGGAAGCTTTCTTGGCTCTGGGGAGCCAGGGCAGCCAGGGAGAACAGGAGGGAGCCACTAAAGGAGTGCACACAGGCCGGCTAAGCCATGGAGGATGCACTGTGCAGGGGGCAGATGCCTGGATGAGCCACGTTCCCAAGGCCATACCTGGCCCTGCCTTGGGCTCCTCACTTTACATTAGCTGTAAATGAGGGTGATGTCAGCTGCACAGAGTTACACATATAAGGGACTTAAGAGCACCCTCTAAAGCAGATACTAGGTTAACCGAATTCTCTTTACTACCTTTCTTGAGTGCCTTCTCTGTGGTGAAGACTATGGGTTGAGTAGGCTTGTGAGGCAGGGATGGTCCCTGAGCTCTCAGCATGTATTTGATAAATGTTGGTTCTCCACAGGAAAGGGTGGCACTCAGGGACCAGGCCTTCTCTCCCCTTGCCTGTGGTGGAGTTGTGTGGGGGGTGTGTGGCTGCTGCTACGGGTTGGGGGAGGAGGGTTCTTGACTAGGAAGACTCGCTGGGTGATGGAAGGAGTGGGCTGCTGGGCCTCAGGCGCCCCGATCAGCATTCCCACTCCTCTCCCACCGCGGCCCCAGCCAGCGTGATGAGCTCGGCAGTGATGAGCACGGCCATCATGGCGACACTGCTGCTCTTCAAGCACCAGAAGGTAGGGGACAGAGTAGTAGGGGCTGGGGGAGGGGGTGTGGCCCTCCTGCTCAGCTCCTGTACCGTTTCCCCCCCCCCCCACCCCACCGCAGGGTGTGTTCCTGTCACAGCTCCTGGGGGAGTTCTCCTGGCTGACCGAGGAGACGCTACTGCGTGGCTTTGACGTGGGCTTCTCAGGGCAGTTGCGGTGCCTTGTGCAGCACACGCTGAGCCTGCTACAGGCACATGTGACCCTCCTCCGCGTCCATCAGGGGGACTTGCTCGTAGTTCCTCGGCTGGGTCCCGGCCTCACCCACCTGGCACATCTGAGTGCTGAGCTGCTGCCTGCCTTCCTGAGTGAGGCTGTGGGTGGTGCGTCCCCGGGGCCTGGGCTGGGTGGGACGGGTGTAGGGGTGAGGGAGTGGCTTCCTTCTTCATTCGCGGCCCTCTCCTCTCCAAGCCTGTGCTGTCCGGGGACTGTTGGCAGGCAGGGTGCCGCCTGAGGGACCCTGGGAGCTACAGGGCATCGAGCTGCTGAGCCAGAACGAGCTGTACCACCAGATCCTGCTGCTGCTGCACTTGCTACCACAGGACCTGCTGCTGTTACAGGTCAGCCCTGTCCCGTCAGCCTCCCCCCACGTGGTTGTCGGAAGAGGTCCAGGGCCCATGCCTGCCCAGTCCAACCCCTTTAATCCTCCTACGGCAGGAGGTCTCTGGCCCTGCTTTGGCCGGGCTCCTGCCCATTTCCTGGTTCTCTTGAGGCCATACGGGTGCTTTTTCTCCTCAGCCCTGTCAGTCTTCCTACTGCTACTGTCAGGAAGTGCTGGACCGTCTCATCCAGTGTGGGCTCCTGGTTGCCGAGGAGGTAGGCGGAGCGGAGACAGAGTCCGACTGAGGCCTGGCTGCCTACTCCCACCCAGAGTGACAGCTGCCCCAGGCTCTTCCTCTGCCCTAGTGTGCTATGGGGGTGGACATGTCCCTGGCCTGGCAGACAGGGAAGCCTGGGTCCCGCCTCTGCTCTTCTTTGCCCTGGATTTGCCACATCTTCCCTATCATGACAGGACTGGACAGCTGTACCTCTGAGGTTCTGTGCATACCTCCTGTTTGCCACACACCCCCCCCCCCCCATTTCTTGTCCACAGAACTATGGTTCTTGAGTCAGTGCTCACTTCCTTTCACCCTGCAAGTTGGCTCAGCAGGTGTCACGGTCTAGTGTGGTCCTGGGTGTCCTCTTGGGCTCCTTGGGTCTCCTTTTCTGGTTTCACCTCCATGTGCCTGGTCTACTATGTACTTGGTCTGGGGAAGTGGGAGGCTCAAGGCTGAACCTGTTAGGGACCAATAACTCCCATGGCCCCCAGACCCCAGGCTCCAGGCCAGCCTGTGACACAGGGCGGCAGCGTTTAAGCGCAAAGCTGCTGTGGAAGCCAAGTGGAGACTTTACTGATAGTGACAGTGATGACTTCGAGGAGGCTGAGGGCCGGTTCTTCAGAGTAAGTTGGGAGAAACCACAGTGGAAGGAGGGGGCAGGCAGGCAGTGGGAGCTGCCCTCATTCTGGTCTGTCCCCTTCCAGCTCAGTCAGCAGTCACGCTGCCCTGACTTCTTCCTCTTCCTGTGCCGCCTGCTTAGCCCGCTGCTCAAGGCCTTTGCACAGGCTGCCACCTTCCTCCACCAGGGACAGCTGCCTGATACAGGTGAGGCCCACGCTTCCCTGGCTCTCCACAGAGGGAGGGGGGAGAGCTCAGGGCAGAGGCTGTGCAGGGGCCCCAGGCCTAGGTTTTTCTCTCCCACAGAGTCGGGCTACGCTGAGCAGCTGTTCCAGTTCTTGCAGGCCACTGCCCAGGAGGAAGGGTTCTTTGGTGAGTCTGCAGCGGCCAGCCCAGACTCCCTGAAGGCAGGGGAGGGTTTGCAGGTGGCTGCTGCCCCCTGCTGGTCAGTGACAACCCCAACTCCAGGAAGGAGGGCTGCAGGGTACAGAGAGGGTCTTCACATCTAGTCTGAGCCCTATCTTTTTGGTTAGTTCCTTCTTAACACAAGCCTATTCCCAGTGGTTCCCTGCCACTCCCTATAGCCTTCACTTCTCTCTTCCTTCCAGAGTGCGCAGACCCAAATCTTGCCATCAGTGCTATTTGGACCTTCAGAGACCTGGGGGTAAGAGGGGCCAGTTTTACCATCCTTCTGCCTCCCACCCCTACACCCTGAGAGAGTTGCTCTGGGAAGAATAGGTATGGTGACAGTAGTTGGAGAAGGTAGGATAGTTTTCCTGGCCTTCTTGGTCTCCTAAACCACTCTCCTACCCCTGGGGGGCTTAAGAGGCAGCACTTGCACTCAAACACTAAGGCCCAGTGGTCCCCAGGTCTCACGGCAGTTTGCCGAGGGATGGGCACAGCCTCCCGGGTGGGCGCTCACAGCCCTTCTCTATGGTCCAGGTGCTGCAGCAGACGCCCAGCCCTGCAGGCCCCATGCTCTACCTGTCCCCTGCGTTCACCAGCTGGGAAAATCAGGAGAAGCTGGAACAGTTCATCCGGCAGTTCATTTGTAGCTAGAACTGTGGGATGGAGTGCCTGCCGAGATTCTCAGCCCCAGATCATAGCCATGCGCTGGAGCCAGAAGACTGGAAGGGAGGCTATACACCCTTACCCGAACTGTATATAAAACCTTTTCCTGTTTCATTGTCCCTTGTCGACTCTCTTGCATTCTCCATCCTTTGGTGTGGTGTGTTAAGTGAGGGGACTGGACTTTTCCCAAGGCGAGTGTCTTTTTTGGGGTATCTTCTCCTTCCCTGTAAGAATGCTCTATCTTGTTCCCTGAAGCCCTAAAAAACGATAAACTGTAGCAGAGGCCAAGCTGCTGCTTTGGGCTGAGAATTTTATTGACGAGGAGGGCTCCATCCCTCTCCCTCCACCCAGAAGAGGTAGCTTGAAACAGCTGGCACTGGGCTGCTCCCTGTGATGGACGGCAGTGGATGCTCCCACCTCTTAAGTCCAGGGCTTGTGGTAAGACCCATCACACCACCTTGTTGATGATGACGCCTAGTTCTTCGATTTCACACTGAACTTCATCACCCTTCTGCAACAGCAGGCCATGAGGACATCAGTCCTTTGGTCTCCGAGGCCTGGATTTCTCAAGGCTGCCAGGGATTCTGGGTGTGTGTGCTCTTTCCTCCTTTCAGTCAACCTACCTTGAGAAAGACTGGAGGTTTCCTGAATACACCAACACCTGGGGGCGTCCCAGTCAGGATGACATCCCCTGGGTAAAGAGTCACGAACCTGGGGCAAATGGGACAGGTGAGACCAGGGGCTGAGATGGCCACTGCCAAGACTGGAAGGCTCAGCTCAACCTCAGGTGGGTGTGTGAGGTAGGGCCCCATCCCACTTACTGGGAGACCCAGGCTATCAGCTCTTCTGTCTTAAACACCATCTGGTTGGTGTTGCTGCTCTGGACCACTTCCCCGTTCACTCGGCAGCAGATCTTTAAGTTGTGTGGATCTGAAAAATGCAAAAGCACCATGTTGGGGTTCTTGTTTTCTCTCAAACCCCTTCCTTTACTCAAAGCAAATACAGAGGGAGGCTTTATGACTTCCCAAATGAAAGGCCTGTCTGCTGGTCTTGCGTCTACCACCTAGCAGAGTATCTGCCTGGGTGAGTTTAGGAGGGCCTGTCCCAGACCCAGTTGGGAGAGAAAAAATGGCTGTTTTTGCCTTAAACGGCCATCTGTCCACAGCAGAGGCTGACAGCTGCAGATACGGAAGTGACTTGGTATCTGTATAGGCAGGGGCACTGAAGTCTCCTGCATCTGACGGCAGGGGACAACTTACCTGTACTAGTGCCCTAATCACTTTTATTTTTTGCCATATACACTCATGCTCCTTAGAGCAGCTGGAACAGTTTCACTTCACTGATGGCTGGCTACATCAGGTGGTGTAAAGCTGGACCGCATGGACACACCCCCACCTAGATGGCTGTCTGCCCTCCTAATCACGGGCTTTCCTCTTGTTCACTCTGCCCTTGCTGCTTATAACCGGTGCTGCCCTGTTAACACTGGCTGCAGAGGTCCTGATCTTCCTTACTGTGGAAAAGGTGTACAGGCTTTTGACAGCCACTTTCTGATGCTCAATACCTAACTTTTGGTTCTTTCCAACTTAAAGATGCTCCTGGATAGTGGCAGCTAGAGGAAGTCATACCTCTGCAGTGAGGGACATGAAGGACGCCTGTGAAACTCGTGGCCTAGGCTGACTTGCTCTCTAAGGAGTCAGCAAAAGGCAACTCCATCCTCCCAACTTCCTGAGTACTGCTTTTCATTTACTCTGATGCATCCATGCAAGAGCAGGAAGAGTCACCACATGGGTTATCTCAAGACCTACCTGCTATACTGTCCTTGGTCACCAAGGCAGGGCCCAGGGGGCAGAAGGTGTCAAAGGTTTTTCCCAGCAGCCACTGCTTTCCATTGCGTCTCATTTGCCAGTCACGAGCACTTACATCATGAGCCACAGTGAAGCCGGCTACGTGAGCCATGGCATCTGTGGCCTTTAGGGGACAGGGGATTTGGCCAGATTGGAAGTTAGATCATCACAGTAACACCAACCCCCATGACCAAGCCTTTATCCCATGTTAGTAGCCAGAACTAGCCAAAGATGGGCAAGGAATAAGGCTGGGAGCAGGTCGTTGTCAACCATTTCCCAATGCCACAGACCACTGGCAACTCCTCTTCCACCGTACCTTGATGTGCTTGCCTTTCCTTCCAATGATCACAGCCAGCTCCACCTCCCAGTCCACCTCCTGTAAAGAAAGAAGCAGTGGGCTGCCTGGCTCCATTCCCATGCTGAGGGGTATGCACCACCCTGCCTCAGGCCCTGGGTCTCTAACAGTGGGGAGTGGCTGTGGGCCCACATAGGTGTTCACCATGAGCCAAATGTAGTGAAGGAGGGGGAAGTGTGGCTTGTAGACCCATAATCCTCGAGCACTGGCAGGTAATACCACTCCATGCAGGCACAGCTCTCCACTGTGACTGCAGAAGGCAAGAGGAGTCTGGGCACTGAATTTACAAGTGACTTGATGCCTTCAAAAAAGGGTGAATACCAAGTAATAACAGCTAGCCCTACACGCCAATAGCATTCTATACGCTTTCAGGTATTAACTCATTTAAATGAAAAGAAATGGGCATGGCCACAGGAAAAGGAAAACATGCTCAGCCTTTCCCATAATCTGCAAAGTACAACTATAAAACAGATACAACTTAGCCTTTCAAACTGGTTGCTGGTTCTAATGGTAACAACCAGTTGATCTGAGCACCCCGACACCTGATCTTGGTCTCTAGGATTGCTTCCCACTAGACAGAACTAGGTTTCTTAGGGGAAATGGCAAATTCCAGGTCTGAGACAGAATACAAGATAAGCCTGGAATATCTTGGCCAGAAAGCAAGGGAAGTACTCAAAAAGTGACAGGGATGGGGCCAACTTGGAGCCCCCCACTGGCCAAATTGAGAGCATTTGAATATCAAAAAGAATGTAAGTGATAGATTACAACATACTGGGTAAAAATAAAAATCAGAAATACACCCTGCTAGGGACAGGAGTATAAAAAGGGAGGCAGCTTTTCTTCACAGGATGCCAGCTAATAAGAGTAGAAGGCGGCATGACAGAAAAATCACCTTTTTCTAACCCCTAATACATACAATAATGGATTCAGGTGAGGATCCCTGAATGAAAAGCTATGTGGCAATAAGAATAGTCACAGGTTCTCAAATTACTACCCTATAGACTGCTTAATTACCACAGTGAAATGCACCTTTCCAACGAAGAGATCGTGAACATCAAGTAACCCAAGTGATCAAACAGCCTCTCAATGGGGTGTGATGTACATCTGTTGGTACAGACTGCATTCATATCATGAACAGGGTTAGTGCCCTTATAAAAGAGATTCTTGCCCTTCTACCATGTGAGGAAACTGCAAAAAGACAGTAGTCCATGAACCAAGCACCAAATGTATCAGCACCTTGATCCTGGACTTCCCAGCCTCCAGAACTGTGAGAAATTCGTTGTTTATAAGCCACCCAGTCTGTGATATTCTGTTACAGCAGTCCAAATGAACTATGTAAAATCCTTGACAAAAACATTTAAATCTAATCATGAGGAAACCGACAAATCCAGAGTGCGGGATATGCTAAGAGAACTTGTCAGGATTCTTCAAAAAATCAGTGTCACGAAAGCTAGAAAATGGCAGGGGGACTGTTTGCTATCAGAAATCACCAAACTATGGCCCACAGGCCGGACCCAGTTCCCTGCCTGCTTTTATAAAGTTTTCCTGGAACACAGCCATATTCACTCATTTATGTATCAGCCACGGCTGCTTTTCCATGACAGTGGCAAAGCTGAGTTGTTGCAACAGACACTCTATAGCATTCAGAGTCTATTATTTGCTAACTGACCCTCTGAGAAAGTCTGTGGATCCCTGTTTAGATTAAAAGCCCTGAAGAGACATAGCCAAGTACAGTGTGTGGCCTTGACTAACCCTGGTTCAACAAAAAATAAAACCGTACCCAAATTAGAAATCCTCTTTGGAGGCAATTGGGAATATTCCCAATTGGACCATATAATGGGTATTATGTTAATTTTCTTAGTGGTGATAGTGGCTATTATGGTCATGCAGGACACTGCTTACTCTTAGAAGATGCATGCTAAATTTTATTATTTTTCTACAATTAAGGTGCACTATTTTTGTAATCAGTAAAAGATATGTTAATTCCTTTTTCTCCTGAGACCAGCCTTCCACTGTATAGTCCCCAGTAGTATCTGCTTAATACACTAAGCAACAGGCGGCTTCTTTAGGCATCCTGAGTGCTGAGCACCCATGCGCTGGGCCCCGGTGACTCGGGAGGACAGTGAGGAAGGAAGCACTGACCTGGCTCAAGGGTGGGAGGATGACCTCGTCGTAGGGCCCCACGATGGAACTGGCAAACTTGCTGAAGATGATGGGCTCCTTGGGCACAGGAACGTTCTGCTCTTTGCAGTGGTCCACATAATTCATTCCCACACACACCACCTTGTCTGGCCGTGTGACAGGGGCCAGAAAGGTCACCTCTGACCGTGGTAGGACTGGCAACTGGGCAGCCAGAGCTCTGCAGAGACAAGAGCAGGAGAGAGGGACTGATTGGGAGCAGGCCAGCAACCCTTGGGCACGCTGGGCAGGTACTGCAGCAGCCACAAGTTTTGCTCTTTAAAGGGGCGCCTGGGTGGCTCAGTTGGTCATGCGTCCAACTCTTTTTCAGCTCAGGTCATGACCTCATGGTTCTCGAGTTCGAGCCCTGCAATGGGCTCCATGCTCACAACTGGAGCCTGCTTGAGTTTCTCTCTCTGCCCCTCCCCTGCTCTTGGGCACAATCTCTCAAATAAACAACCTTACCAATATATACTTCTAGATCTATAAACCATCACAATCAATGTAGAAATCAAACCCAGCTACTGTCCCTTGGTATCAGAACACTTTATTTTTATCTATGTTGATTTCCTTTCCCCTATTAGGTAATACATGTCATGTAAGGAATTCAAAAGGTGCAAATGGGAAGAATGGAAAGGCCTCCTAGTCACCCCGCTCCAACCTTGGACACAGCTACTGTGTCCTGTGTAGCTCTTCATGGCTGCTCTATGTATACTCTGCTCCTCCTGTCCTTTTTTAAGGCAAATGACACCAAATACATTTTTAAAAAATACATATATTTTTTAGGGGCACCTGGGTCGCTCAGTTAAGCGTACAACTCTTGATTTCAGCTTAGGTCATGATCTCACGGTTCATGAGTTCAAGCCCCACGTTGGGCTCTGTACTGAGAGTGAAGAGCCTGCTTGGGATATTCTCATTCTCTCTCTCTCCCTCTCCCCCCCCCCCCCCCGCCCCTCTACTATTTGCATGCATGCATGCTTGTGCACTCTCTCTCAAACTCAAAAACAAATAAATAAATTTTTGGAGATCTCTCCATAACAGTATATACTTTCCCCTCTTTTTTCATATGGCTGTATATACCTGCACAATACAGATACACCCAATTACCTGATGAGGGATACAGAAGTAGTTTCTTTCTTTTTTAAATTTTTTTAAATGTTTTATTATCTATTTTTTGAGAGGGAGAGAGAAAGAGAGACAGAGTGTAAGCAGGGGAGGGGCAGACGGAGAGGGAGACACAGAATCCAAAGCAAGCTCCAGGCTCTGAGCTGTCAGCACAGAGCCCGACGTGGGGCTCCAACTCACAAACTGTGAGATCACGACCTCAGCCGAAGTTGGACGCTTAACCGACTGAGCCACCCAGGCGCCCCTGTAGTTTCTAATCTTGCAAGACTATGACAGTATAGGAAGCATACCGTCACCAACGTTGTGTGCTGCCAAACGTCTGTATTTTTGCCGGTTTAATATGTAAAAATAAATAATAACTCAAAGTGGTTCTCAATTAATTTCATCAGATTCCACACGGATCCTGGCTTTGGGGAAGTCCCTACCTAATCTAGCCCAAACCCAAGAACTATCTTTAAGAACACCTCTTTGCAGTCCTCTCTCCTTCAAGGAGCCAAGAGTCCAGACCTTCTCTCCCCTCCCTCCTCCACTCCCAGGTCCCAGACTCCTCAGGCAGCCAGGAACTTAATACCCTGGGGAAGGCAAGTGTGATGAAGCAGTTCTGGCTCCACCACCAAATGTGTGGCTTTGGGATAGTTAATCACCATCCCTGGGCCTGAGGATGTTGTCATACAAGATTTCTAAGACTCTTCACTAAGAGAACAGGTGAGAAAGGAAAGGTAGAGTTACCCTGCTCACTTGCAAAAAAGTTACTAGCTGGTTGTTTCCCAGGGCAGGAATGGGTGGAACGAGAAAGAGGGTAGCAGGACAGCCACTGTAGGGCTATGCTGCCTGTTGATTTACCTTCTTGCCACCGAGAGAGTGGCCTCTCCCTGCTCCAGGAACTCCATCATTGTCTTGGGCAGTGTGGGGTCAAAGGCGTTGAGGTTAATGACCCCCCCGCCATTCCCTGATTCCAGGCCCAGGTGAGGCCCCATCAGGTGGGGTGCCTGGAACTGCACCAGTCTCATATTTCTGGAGGGCTGAAAGGGCCACTTCTGAGCCTGCAGCAAAGCTGTGAGCAACCTTCTACAAGAGACCAGCATCAGAACCTGTGAAGAAAAAATTAGGTCCTAGGGGACAGAGGGAGCTAAAACCACCATCAAGATCCACAAAGTTCCCTGAGCTGCAGCCCAAGCCCTTTTGCCCACCAGCCATTCCTAGAAGTAGTCTGCATTTATTAGTTATTTCACTGTTACATTTTATAAGGTGACTGTTTGTTTTTTTTTTTTTTTCTCAATTCAATGCATGTAATGAAGCATTTCTAGAAGAGTGCCTACTTCATGCCAGGCACTAATCTAGATAGGAGGGATTCCAGTGTTCCTTCAACCAGTGCTTTCTAGAGGTTTACACTGTACCTGGCACATCTCTGAGGCACTGGACAAACAGTATAGATCAGACACATTCAGTCCTGCTGTCCTGCTGTCAGGGGAGACGGATATTAACAATGACGTTGTAAGTAAGATCCAGCAATTGGGACCACTGTTGTAAAGACCAAGGGTCCTGCCTTTGTCTGGTTTCTTGAAGTGATACTGAGCTGAGCTGGGCCCGCCTTAAAATAAGCAGGACTAGAAATTAGTTAAGAGTGGGGCACAGCATGGGCAAGTGACCACTGGTAAAACTGGCTTCACAGCTGTCATAGGCAAATTTTTAAATGCCAGTTTGATCCTATTAGCCTCCTAGTGAAAATGCTTTCCACTGCTCACATTACCAAGCTAAATCCCCTACCAGGCTATCCCAGCCTTCTAGAAGCAACTCCCATGAGCCTCTCCAGACAGTAATTATTTAGTTTCTCCTGCTGAAGTACAGGCTACCTGAGGGAAGAGACTGCAGACAAAGGGCAGGGTCAAAGCCTGACAGGCATCATTGGGCTGTCTCCTCTCTGGGCTCTAAGACTACATCTGTCCTTTTCACTGCTTTTTCATAGCATTGTGACTGGCACACAGAAGGCTCTACACTGCTCTCTGTTGAATGAACAGTTGAATGAATCAACAACTGAATTTGTTGAATGAACAAATGCCAGAAGCAGGGGCTTGACTTTTCACTACTTGGGAAAGCTTGGTGATTGTCAATATGGCTATGTCTTCCTTTCTCAAATCACTTAGAAGGTATCAACAGGGCTCAGGTCCTGTTTTGAGGTCCAGGCTTTACTCAGAGGCAAACCCCATTCTCCTGTTTTATTTTTAATCTAAGTCTGGCCTTCATTCCAAACAGTCTCTGCCCTGCATGGGCCCTTGCTTTAAAAAGTAGCCCTTTATGCTCAGTCATGTGGAGGTGGACCCGGACTCCTGGTCCTCACCCTGATGACTCAATTTGCCACCTTCAGTTAAAGATTCATTAGACCCAGGTCACTGATCTGACTACTGTCATGGCCAATAAGTTTGACCAGAAAACAAGGAGCTTTGAAACTTCTGCCCTCCTGTCTTATACAACCATGCTACTGTCAAAAATGTGTTCAAGCCAAAATGCATGCACTCAGATCTCCACACACTGAAAAAACAGTAACCGCTCCCACTGAATGCCAGGTGTTAAGTGCTTTACCTATAATATCTGATTTAATTCTCTTGACAGTTATGGAAGATAGGTACTGTTAGCCCCATTTTACAAATGAAAAAAACGAAGGCTTAGTAAGATGAAGGGGTTTTCCCAAGTTCCCAGGGAGAGAAAATAGCTGGGACTTGAATCCAAGTCCAGGTGACATTGAAATTCTTGGCTTGGGCTAAAGTGTCCTAGAGATGGGTGGGGGTTAGATCGCCAACAGATCTCCTAGAGCCCCATGGACACCCTGTCTGCTATCAGCCAGGGAAAACTTGGGTCACATTCTGGCTGCTGCTTCAGGAATAAGGCTGGTCATCTGCTCTCCAAGACAACCCCAGGCCCCACTGACTATGACCTTCCCACATGACAGGCATATTCAGGCTCTCATTCCACCCTACAGCAATCCCCTCAGGCACAAGGTCCCATTTTACAAAAGGGGACACTGAGGCGTAAAGAAATCATCTGCCAAAGTACCAGTTAGAAAGTGGCCCCCGTGCTTCTGCGGTAATCACGGTGCAACAGGGCACGAGCTCAGTTCAACTCTGGAAAAGTGTCCTTAAGCAAAGAGGCAGAGATTCGAGGCAGAAAAAAACACGCATCACAGCCTGAGAGACGCGGGCCCCGTCCCGCCACCCACTCGCTCGGCACCCTGAACCAGTCCCCCAGCTTGGTCCCTGGTACTCAGCGGGCACTCACGACAGCCCACCCCACCCGTGTGGTCAGAGGGATTGGGGGGGGGGGGGGCGGTCCAGTCCTGACCCCAGCGGGAGACCTGGAGGGAGGCTGAGACCGGCCCGCCCCCCATCCCAACCTACCTGGCCGCGGCGGCGGGTCTTGCCGGGCTCCCTGAGCTGTCGGGCTAGGGCTCACCGAGCTGGGGGCCGAGGTCAGCGGGCGCCTAGACACCTGCAGCGCGTTTCGGAAACAGCGACCGGCGGGGAACCGCGGGGACAACACGCCAGGCTGCTTCACTAAGTAAGACTTTTGCACAAGCGGGCGCTGCCTAGTGACGCCAGAGAACAACAGCCAATAGAAGGGCGCCTCATTCCGACCCGGAAGCCAAGCCACGGAGGGGGCAGGCCTAGCGCTAGAGGGCAGGTTGTCTTTCACGGGTTCCTTCAGGCGTCTGGGCAGATCCCGACGACGCAGGTGAGGCCGACCGCCTCCGTTCCGCTCCCCCTCCCCCCACCCCGGGCGGACACTCCTCGTCAGCGCGCCCTGCAACTGCACGAAAACGACAACGGAGGGTTTCCTGAAATTTTGTGCCCTAGGCGCCTCGCTGGCCTCACCTGCGTCGGGCCCTGCTTCTAGGCCAGGCACCGTTCTGATTGTTGCGCAAAGTGTGGTGGAGGAGACCAAGTGATGGCGTGCTGGTTCACAACAACGAATATTTTTGTCTTCTGATTCTGACATATCACAGAGAAGAGGAGGGATGATTGCACCCATTTTACATATAGGAAACCCGAGGCGGAAGTGTTTTGCTCAAGGTGACACAGGAGTGTGAGTAGTGGAACCAGCATTTTTGACCCCAAGTGCAGTCCTTTACTGCCATTCTCAAGCAGCCCTGTCTTCACACGCATTGTGCTCGGCCTAGGGCAGGATAGCGGGAGGCATAACCTCCAGCATCAGAGAACAGGCATTCTCGTGTAGAGCTGTTTTAATTACACAGGCAGTTACAATCCGGCTCTGTAGGCCTCTGGCATATGAAGACATATTAAGTGGTCTGGGCAAGATGCCCAAGACTTAATCAAGGACCAGATCATCAAGGGCTTTACTCGTCCCACGAAGGAGTCTGAGCCTTATCTAAGCATACAGGACATGTCACACACAGGGTTAGACTTGCATTTGGGAACTTTTGCTCTGGCCACTCCTCCAAGGCAAATGAGTGCAGTGGGGCAGGTGGCTTGGTGTGTGGCAGAGACCGTGAGAATCCAGACATGTTTAGAAGGTAGAACAGACAGCTCTTGATGATGACACGAAGTGGAAGTGAAGGCGGAAGAAGGTCTCAGGCCAACTCCTAGGTTTCTGGCTGGTAAGTGGCAGTGCCATTATGGCGACAGGGGTCCTCCATTCTGGAGGGGCAGCAGGTCTAGGGAGAGGATGATGAGCTCAGTGTTTGGATGGGTTGTATTTAATGTGCCTGTGACACGTTCAAGGAGGCAATGCAGGGTGGACATGGAGACACGGGTCTTAGAACTTGGGGTTCTAGTCTAGCTTGAAGGTAGAGGTCAGCATACAGAGAGAAATGGGACTTGTGAGGGTAAGTGTGATCAGGAGGAATGTGGTAAAGAGAGTCTGATATAACCCCCAGTCAGAAGACCCATCAGGTAAGGATCAGCCAGAAAGACTGAAGGGAAACAGGGAGACGGGAACATACAACTTAGGCAAAATTTGGGGACTGCACCTTCGAAATGCCAAGGAGATGACTTCTGCTTCTGGACAAGATGAAATAGGTGATGTTATTAAAGACCATGCATGATCAAAAAGATGAGAGAATACTATGAACACAGCTACACACATAAATTTTACAACCTTGATGAAATGGAGCAATTCCTTAAAACAGCCTGTCACAATTCACCCAAAATGAAATAGATAATTTGGATAGCACTGTATCTATTAAGGAAATTGAATTTGTAACTTAAAAAGTCCTGAGGGGCACCTGGGTGGCTCAGTTGGTTAAGCGGCTGACTCTTGATTTGGACTCAGGTCATGATCTCACTGTTCCTGAGTTCAAGCCCCATATTGGGTTCTGCTCTGGGATCCTGGGAGCACAAAGCCTCTCTCGGATTCTCTCTCTCCTTCCCTTTCTCTACGCATGCTCACTCTCTCTCAAAATAAACAACAACAAAACTCCTAAAAAAGAAAGATCTAGTCCCAGATGGTTTCATTGGAGAATTCTACCAAATGTTTAAAGAGTGAACAGCAATTCCACATAATCTATTTCAGAAAATTGAATAGGAAGGAACATGTCTCAATTCATTTTATGAAGGTAGTATTACCCTGATACCAGAAAACAAAGACAGTACAAAAAAGGAAACCACAGGGGCGCCTGGGTGGCTCAGTCGGTTAAGCGGCCGACTTCGGCTCAGGTCATGATCTCACGGTCCGTGAGTTCGAGCCCCGGCGTCGGGCTCTGTGCTGACAGCTCAGAGCCTGGAGCCTGTTTCCGATTCTGTGTCTCCCTCTCTCTCTGACCCTCCCCCGTTCATGCTCTGTCTCTCTCTGTCTCAAAAATAAATAAACGTTAAAAAAAATTAAAAAAAAAAAAAAAGGAAACCACAAAGCAATATATCTCATGAATACAGATGTAAAAGTCCTTAACCAAATATTAGCAAATCTAAGTCAGCAATATATGAAGATAATTTTCTACCATGACCAAATGGTTTATTGCAGGAATACAAGGCACATTCAATATCCAAACACTAAATATAATTCACCAGGTTAATAAGCTAAAGAAAAAAAATCACCAAGTCATATCAATTAATGTAGAAAAATCCAACAAAATCCAACACCCATTCATGAAACATACTCTCAAAACTGAGAAGGGAACTTCTTCAACTTGATAAAGAACATTTACCGAAAAGCCTACAGTTAATATGGTTAATGGTGAAAAATTGAATGCTTTCCCCTCAAGACTGAGAACAAGGAAAGAATGCCGGTTCCTACCCCTCTTATTAATCATAGTACCGCAAATTCTAGCTAGTACAATAAGGCGATTGAAAGGAAATAAAAAACGTATAGATTGGAAGGGAAGAAATAAAATGATCTCTTTTTGCAGATAGTATTGTTGTCTTCATAGAAAATCCACAGTGGGGGAAAAAAACCCTCCTGGAAATAATAAGTGAATCCAGCAAGTTTACAGAGCACAAGATCAACATACAAAAATCAACTGTATTTCGGTACACTATCAATGAAAATGTGTATCCTGAAATTAAAAATATAACACTATTTGCTCAAATAAAAATAAATACTTAGGTGCAAATCTAACTAAACACGTACAGGACTTATATGCTGAAAACTATAAAACACTGACAAAAGAAATCAAAGATCAGCATAAGTAATGAGATATATCCTGTCCACAGATTGGAAGACCCAACACAGTAAAGATGTTAATTCTCCACAAACTGATATACAAATGTAACACAATTCCTACCAAAATCCAATCACAATTTTTTCTACATAAAGACAAGACTATTCTAAAATTTACACTGAAAGGCAAAGGAACTAGAATAGCTAAAACAAATAGCTAACTTTTCAAAAGAATAAAGTGAGAATAATCAGTCAACCTGATTTCAAGACTTATGTGGTTATTGTAATCAAGATTGTGTGATATTGGCAGAGGGATAGACAGATCAATGGACTCACAGAAATATATCCAGCTGGTTTTGAGAAAGATACAAAAGCAATTCAATGGAGGAAAGATAGTCCTTCCAACAAACGGTGCTGGAGCAACTGTACATCCATGATCTTATATAAAATTTAACTCAAAATGGATCACAGATTTAAATTTAAAATGTAAAATTATAAAGCTTTTATTATCTTATTTTTAAAATTTTTTTTAACATTTATTTATTTTTTTGAGACAGAGAGAGACAGAGCATGAACGGGGGAGGGTCAGAGAGAGGGAGACACAGAATCTGAAACAGGCTCCAGACTCCGAGCTGTCAGCACAGAGCCCGACGCCGGGGCTCGAACTCACCGACCGTGAGATCATGACCTGAGCCGAAGTCGGCCGCTTAACCGACCGAGCTACCCAGGCGCCCCTCTTATTTTTTTCAAGTTTATTTTTTATTTTGAGAGAGAGAGGGAAGAGAGAATGAGTGGGGGAGGGGCAGAGAGAAAGAGAGGGTGAGCCCAAGCAGGCTCCAGGCTGTCAGTGTAGATACCGACACAGGACTTGATCCCACGAACCATGAGATCATGACCTGAGCCAATACCAAGAATTGGATGCTCAACTGACTGATTCATCCAGGTGCCCCTAAGATTATCAAGCTTTTAGAGGAAAATATAGGAGAAAATCTTTGAGACATATGGCTTAGTGAAAGGTTCTTAGACATTACCCCAAAAGCTTAATACAGGAAAAAAAAAAAAAAAAGTAGTGGACTTCATCATAATTAAAACCTTTTACTCTGCAAAAGGATGTTAAGTGGGTGAAAGGACAAGCTACAGACAGGGTGAAAATATTTGCAAACTACATAGCTGACAAAGAACGCACACTAGGATATATAAAAAACCCACAGACTTGTCGAATCACTATGTTGTATACCTGAAACTAATGTAAAATAGTGTCAACTATACTTCAGTTAAAAAAGAAAAAAGAAAACCCCTCAAAAATCAACAGAAAAAAAACAAGCAATGGATAAAGGACATGAAGAGATGTTTCACTGGAAGCTATACGAATGGCATATGATCACATGAAAAGATGTCCAAAATCTCTATAGAAATTAGCGGGATGTAAATTAAGATCATGATGAGATATCACTGCACAATTATTAGAACAGTTGAAAAAATAGTGACAACACCAAATGCTGGGGAGGATGCAGATAACTGGATTTCTTATACATTGCTGACAGGAATGTCAAATGCCATAGCCACTCTAGAAAATAGTTTGGTTGTTTCTTAAAAAAACTAAACATGCACTTACCATATGGCCCAGAAACTGTAGTCCTGGGCATTTATCCCAGAGAAATAAAATTCTATACATGATTGTTCATAGCAGTTTTATTTGTAATAGCTAAAACCATGGAAACAACCAAAATCTTTTACAGTAGGTGAATGGTTAACCAAAATGTGGTACATCCATACTATGAAATACTACTTGTCAATAAAAAGGAAACAACTTTGGATATCCACAATAACTTGGATGGATCTCAAGGGCATTGTGCTGAGTGAAAAAGGCCAGTCTCCAAAGGTCACATTCTGTATGACACCATTTATAGAACATCTCAAGATTACAGAGATGGAAAACAGATTAATGGTTGCTAGGGGTTACTGATGGGGGTTTTGGTATTCCGT